GGTTAATGTGCTGGACTGCAAAGTCATTTGAACTGCAAGGTCGGCGGTTCAAGTTCACCAGCCGCTCCTCGGAAACACTATACAGGGTCACTATTGGTTGGAACTGACCCAGTGGCACTTAACAACAACAACACTCCCCCCACATTCATGAGTATATTGGGAGGAGAGGTGACCGTTGTTGTATGCCATCGAGTCAGTTCCAACTCATACTGACCCTGCTTCTAAGAGCAGCCAGTGGAGCATGTGTAAGAAGTGTCTTCTGTGGTTACCTGTCTCTGTTCATGGGTACACTCCTATGCTCCCTCCTGTCAGCCTGCATATCTGTCCATGGATCTACTCTGGTAGGACATTGTTATTGTTGCAGGATTGGGTGTGTCGCCATAGTGTCTCCTGCTGTTACCTTTAACTGTTGTACTCCTCCGTGTCTTCTCTGCCTCCATCACTGTTGACTGATCTCCCTCCTATTGTATATTGCCTTCCTCTTCTCCCAAGGTAACACTTGTCTACCCTCTAGGAGTCCTGGTGAGGCCCTGTAGGATAAGCACTCCACTTCAAGCTTGGTTTGAACTGCAAGGTCGGCGGTTCAAACTCACCAGCTGCTCCTTGTTAATCTATACAGGGTCGTCCTGAGTCAGAACCAACTCGATGGCACTTAACAATAGCAATAAACCTATTTGATGCTGATTTACAGCTCCCCCGCCCCCACACTTCCCACCCCCGATAACAATCAAAGAATGTTTCTTTGAGTGTGTAAACCTCTTCTTGATTTCTGATAATAGTGATCCCATACAGTATTTGCCCTTTTGTGGTTGACATTTCACTCAGTGTAATATTCTCTAGGTCCGCCCGTCACTGCACAAGGTGTTTAGCAGATACGTCATCATTCTTCAGTGTTGTATAGTATTCCATTGTGTGTCTGCACCAAAGCTGGTTTGTCCAGTCTTCCACTGATGGGCATTTAGGCTGCTCCTTTCATTTTGTTCGTGTGAATTGCGCCGTGATGAACATGTGTGTGCTACAATCTATCTGTGTTGTGGCTTTTACTTCTTGTGGATATTTACCAAATAAATCGCTGGGTCCTATGGTATTTTGGGAGTCCTGGTATGGCACTGTGAGTTAATGTACAGTACTGCAAAGTCAGTTTGAACCACAAGGTCAGTGATTCAAACTCACCAGCTGCTCCTCGGAAATCCTGTACAGGGTCGTAATGGGTCAAAACCAACTCTGTGACATTTAAAAACATGGTATTTTTACTTCCAGCTTTCTGAGAAAGTGCCATACAGTTTCCCAGGGTGGTTGCATCAGTTTATAGTCCCCCCGTGCAGTGTAGGAGGGTCCCAGTCTCTCTACATCCTTGCCAGCATTTGTTGTTTTTTAGTTTCTTGAACTTGCACTGTTACTGCTCAAGTTAGATGACAAATCTCATTGTTGTTTTGATTTGCATCTCTCTAATGGCTAGTAATTGTATTTCTTCATGTTTGTTGGTTACCTGAATGTCAAGTGTCTGTCCGTCCTCTACCCATTTTTAAACTGGTTTCTTTGTAATTTTTTTGTTGAGACGTTGAAGCGTTCTATACATTTTAGAGATGAGTCCCTTGAAAAGATTAAATGTTGCTAGCACCAAAACAAATTCTACTGTGCACACCATTTCCTAATTGGAATATTTCCCTTCTCCCCCGCCCTTAAGTCTTTGTAGCCCTCTCTGGGAGGAGGGTAATTATGAGTGTAGGATTTGCTCATGAAAGTGACCCCAAGATCACTGGTGGACTTCCCTGAGTCCATCTGTACTGTACGGAGCCCCAGGGGTGTGAGCTGCAGGCTTGGCTTTTGTTTGAGTGTGGAGACAAAGCTTTCTAAAGCGGGGGGCGCATTTCTGATCTTCAGATGACACCCCAGTGACCCCTGGCCTCCGGTATTGTTGGAATTCCATCTGAAATGGGTGATGGAAAAATGCAAACCCATAGGAGAACTTGTTTGAGGTTTTGTTATGCTAACTTTAAAATCTTAGGCTCCCACCAGGGAGGAAACCTAATGGTTTGAAGCAGTTGCTTTTATTTGTGATTGCAACCCTGGCCTGGTAGCTGTCCCTGGCTGCAGTGGCACCGGCTTATAACAAGTTGGCTTTGTCCCGTGGATTTGATCCTGAATGTTGGCCTCAGTGCCGTATTGGTCTGTCTTGGTTTTGATTCCAAGTAACCAGAGTCATGCGGCGTTAGACCACCTATTTCTTTAAATTTAAGGGAATTGCAAATAAATTACTGTCTAAAGAGTTCATTCAAAAGTTTATTTAGAACTTTGAAAATATTCTCCCAGAACAGCTATGCATAAACGGTGGGCAGATTCCTGGCCCATAGCCATTGTGTCGGTGAAATTTGGAATACTTTGAATAAAGCACAGGCAGTATGGTTACTGCAAAGTCAGCGGTTCAAACCCACCAGCCGCTCCACGGGAAAGATTAAACTGTCTGCTCCCTTAGAGATGTATGTCCTAGGATAAACACAGGACTACAAGATAGGGCTGAACCACAAGGTCGGTGATTCAAACTCACCAGTTGCTCCTTGGAAACCCTAGCCTGGGTCACTGTGAGTCGCAACCGACTCAAGGGCACTTAACAAGAACAACAAAGGAACCATTCTACTCTGTCCCATAGAGTTGCTATGATTGGGATCAACTCAGCAGCAATGGGTTTTGGTTTATTGTTATATTGTTACTAGTGGATTGGAGTGTAGGCTCAATTAGGTAGCATCAAAGCGCCTATGTAATTTTTTTCTTATGTTATGGTTCTTGGATGGAAGAATCGAGGAGATAGAGGCTGGTGAAGATCTTGGCGGGAATGTCAGTTTCCTTGGTTCTCCCTAGTGTCAGGTTCTGTTCCAAAGCATGAAACTTTTCCTTCCTGCTCAGCCCAGGAGAATGAATTGACATGAGTCTAACGCTTTGTAAATTGTCATGAGCATCATGGAAGCATACAGCTGGACAGCATTTGGGAGAGAAAATCAAACTCTTCTGTTTTCCTTTTTTTTTTTAAGTGGACAGGAGTTAGGAGTCCTGAGAAAGGGGAGCCAGGAAGTATCAGTGTGAGCACCTAAGCTGAAATGAAC